CCTTGATCAGGGAGGTGAAAGAAAAGGAGGCGAAACTCTTGTAATTTATTCAATAGCATTCTTGAGTTCTAAAGCGTAACAATGGGATGTGTAACATTCCACTTGGCTTTGAAGTTCCAAGCTCCGAACCGCGCTTCCACTGCGGGGACTTTCGGAAGCCAGGCACCAGTTTTACATTTATTACAAAATATTAAATTACCGGCAAAATTTCAGTGTAAATCAAAAACTTTATATGGGGATTTTATTGGGAAGAGTGCATCAAACAAATTTTCAAATTTAAAACTCCGTCCTTCCTTTAATTTGTGTGCCAGAGTTGGTAAAAGAAAAATTACATCCTGTCAAAAACTCAATATTTTAGGATGATGCGCTAATTTGTGCATGCTTTAATGTCCCGTTATTTGATCCATGGTTTACAATCTTCAATAACATTAAGTTTGCTAATGCGTGTTTTCGCGTGTTTTTTGTATTTTTCAAGTTTAAAAAAGGATGAAAATACACAAGTTTGTGTTCGCTTGTTCTACTCTTTACACATTCAACAATGGATGAGAAGTCATTGGAAGGGACAGCGAACAGTTGCAGTGATACCATTTTCTGATGTAGGAATTCTAAATCCTGAAATTTATGCGCTCTTTTATCTCATCACCTGGTCAACAGTTGCAGATTAGCGCATAACTTTTCGGCGGCTTGGAGCATGGTGTCAAAGGAGAGTGGCTTGATTCCAGTCCTTCTCTATCACGTCCTTGCCTTGATTTATTTTGAACAGCCTCCTATTAAACTTCTTGACTCATGATATCTAAATTATCTCTGCTTACGCTCAAGTGGATTTTGATAATACGTTTTGAAAATGTTGCAGCCATGAAGTGAGCAGAACATCAGAATAAGAGACCAAACAAAATCAGAAAAAATGAACAATTCCAAAATGACCTGGTAAGCACTGATAGTGTTATACAGAGAACTCTTTTTTTATTTATTTCTTTACATAAGAGAGTGTGATTTTTGTATTAAAGTTAAAAGTGGGGCTAGTATTCCAACTGGTCATCCATAAATGCCAAATTCTACAGAATCTGAAGTTGAAATTCATGCACTATGGTGACATGTCAGGCAAGATTCGCTCCTGTTTGGTCATCAACTTTCTGGAGCATCATGCCTATAGGTTACTGTTGAAAAGGACCGGACCAATAGGTCATTTTGAATGCACAGTCGAATAAAAGCAGTGCTTTGTGCCCCCCCCCCCCCACTCCGTGAACGGAGGGATACCATGCGTGTTTCCAAACTCTCCGGCTCGTAACAAAAGAAAAAGGTCGACCCGTTTTGACTTTACACACACGGACTTTTGCTGAAAGGGGGGGGGGGGGTCGCTGGGAACACGCATATGCGTGCCCTAAATAACACTGAGTGGGGGGGGGGGGGCGGTGCTTTGTGCAACTTTCAGAATTTGGATCTACGGCACATTCCAGGTCTGAAAAATCTTTAAAAATTGGGCATCATTAATGAAGGAATGTACTCATTTTCTAATAATGATACTAAAAATAGAAATAATTATGTCATGACAAGAGAGATGTAATTGATCATACTTGAGTTTCCAAACTTTTTCAATGGGTTCATTTGGTAATTGCCTCTTTTCCTTGCAGTCGCTACTGCCTAGACGTTCAGAAAAGGTCAATGAATCCGAGTACAATATAATTTAAGGTAGCAGACCATTGCACCACCATGGCAGCTCAATCTCGGGTCTCTTAACTTTCTCGACCTATAATGTGACCCCATGTTGTCCTCGCGAAAGCCGAGTCGGTAGCATCGGGTGTACGAGAACATTATAGCACTTCAGAAAAATTATTCATACCCTAATCAACTTTCGTAAAAGATTAAAGTATGAAAGTATTGATTTTCCCTGATTTACGTTTCTTGGGAATGTGACCTATTCAAGCTTACATCTGAAGTATGCAACAAAGGCCATAATTCAACCAGTCCATGTTTAACTCTTGAGTTACGACCGAATACATACACACACACACACACACACACACACAAAATCAAATGTTCAAGGGGGTATGAATTATTCAATTGTTAACTATAGCACTTGCAAGAATGACCCACAAAAAATTCGACATATCTTTGAAGCATGGAGAGGTCCTACTTTGTGCATTGTTATAATAATCGCGTCCAAGGTGATTGAGGTGCTTCATAAATACCTTTTTCTTTTCCCTCCTGAAAAGAATACTCCCACCTGTGTATCATATAACGGTGCATAAATGAATAATGATAACATATCTTTCATGAACACGAATCCAGCATTCGTTTTCATGGCTTCAAACAGTTTTGTATTCACTAATTCCCTTTTCTACATCAACCGAATTCGTTACTGCAACCAATAACCAAACACATAATCTAACCCATGTCTAACATTAACCCTATCGCACTCTAACCCAGTACCGTTTACGAAATGAGCGACTGCCGGTGGAGCATTTCGACGCGTTCAATAAATAACCACGCCCATATGTTTGTCTTCGGGTAGAAACCTTGTGCGATCCAAACTCTGCAAAGCGAAATAAATTCCTCGAATGATGCTGCCTATTGTTCATTCCTTCATAAAAAACCAAATTATTTTTTTTAATGGGAATTCTTACCTTCAATTGTCCAGACCTTGGTTGATCCTTCGTTTCTCCGCTGGAGGTGTCCATGATGTTGTTTCGGGAGGATCAAGAGAACACATGAAGTAGGTAGTAGTAATGATCGCCAACTTAGAGAAGTTGTTGATGTTGTTTGTATGTTGGGCGTTCAGTCAAAATCGACTATTCACGTCTGTCTGTTAAGAAGTAGTAGTAGTAGTAGTATTGTCTATGTCCGTCAAATCATTTTTTTTTCGTAAACACGACGGAACCAAAACGACGGGAATATTCACTCAACCGAGATCGTCCTGTACTATATATGCTCCCGTCTTCATTTGTAACCTGTCTTGAGAAATCTGTGCACCTGTGCGTTCGCTTGTTCAATGCGGGGAATGTATCACGCATCCCGGCCAACCCTGATGCGTACGTTGAGCGCGAGAGCTTCTCAATCATCCGTATCAGGGGGGGGGGGGGGGGGGGGGGGGGGGGGGGGGGAGGGGGGGGGGGGGAGGGGGGTGGCTCAGATTTGGTTTGGACCGGGGGTGGCGCTTAAGCCTCGAAACCTCTACCCGTTTTTAAGGGTCATTTTAGCGGATTTTTCTCTAAATCATGGCCTATTTTTCACAATTTTCGGGTGTTTGCCAGGCAAAATATTCTGGAAAAATAGACCCATTTTTAGGGATATTTTTGTTTTAAAGTGACCCATTAGAGCGGCAAACCACCGTATATCTTAAAATATGAGAAACCCCCCTCACCTCCCCCCCCCCCGCCAGTATGATCTAGGCCTCTCAGATACACAATGTTACGCCACAGCATGACGTCACAATGTGTTCCTGATCGGCCGTTGTCGTCCTGTCAAGGACGATAAAACACACTATTCCAGGGGCGGATCTAGCTTTTTGCTAAGGGGAGGGGGGTTTGACCAAAATAATGACGATGCAGAGCATCGTCCACGAGCCGCGAAGCGGCGAGCCGATTTTTTTTGGGGTGTTTATTTGAACTCCGTAAGTGATGTTTTCCTGGCATCTATTAACACAATGGAGACCATAAAAAGCAGTGCATGATAACGTCTTTTTAAATCAAGTAACAGTAAATACACAGTTATATCCAGAGTTATCATGTGTTTGGTTAAGTTACCAGATGAGTTGAATATCTTCTCACAATATTTGCACTTGAAAGGGTTTCTCTCCAGCGTGCATTCTTTTTTCTTTCTTTTTTTTTTTTTTTTTTTTTCCTTTTTTTTTTTTTTTTTTTTTTTTTTTGGGGGGGGGGCCGCCCAAGGGGGGGGGGGGTTTAAACCCCCTAAACCCCCCCCCGTAGATCCGCGCCTGTATTCAATCCCTGTTTTGTAACCAGGGATGAGCATAATCATATTAAAGTAATTTGTGTGCACACTTTGCCACATAACCATGCACTGGACACGTACATGAATGGAGAATGACCAACATATATGCATACCCGTCTACAATTTGTTTCGTACATACAAACATACATACATACAAATATACATAAATACACAAACACCATATACACTGTTGGTCATAAAGTTGGAATAATTATTTTTAACCCAATTTATAGAATGATTTTGACAATTATTTATTCCTAATAGATCTAAATAATAGTACACATTCTCAGATTTTATTGAATTATAATTTGTAAGTGTTTGTTTTGCGTGACTGCTTAAGCATGTGTGTGCTACTATGCTATTCAACTAGGGGACCTACGGCCTTCAGTCATAACTTATAGTAATGAGGATTAATGCCTCACAAAAGGGCACTAAATATCACACACATTGACGCGGTTTCGATCCTGGGGGTTCACAGTAACGAGGCCATTGCTTAGCCACTGCATCATTACTGTATGCAGCGGGGCTAGAGTACGGAGCCGCCCCCACAAATACAACAAAACAAAGAAAAAGCAATAAATTATCAATAATTAATTGCATTTTGCCCCGATCCCCAACAGGAAAAAAAATATCCTATGTGGCCATGCCTTGAACCATAGTGCATGGCCCTACGGAGGATTTTTTCCTGTTGGGGGACCGGGGGGGGGGGGGGTAATGCAATGAATTATTGATAATTCATTGAATGTACTATTATCTAAATCTACTAGGAATACATCATTGATAAAATCATTCCATAAATTGGGGTAAAAAATATTTTATTCCACCATTATGATCAAAAGTGTATTATGTGCATGAGAGAGAGACATAAAAATGGGTTGGACACATAATGCGGCATGATGATGATGGCTTGATGATCAGAGTCATAGAAGGTCGTCTACATGGAAAGAAGAAGAGGGGGAGACCTTGTAAAGACTTTCTAGATGATTGAATCACAGAATGTGAAGCAGCAGGGTATGAAACGATGAAACGGATGGTTCAAGACCGAGGTACTTGGGGAGATACTTGATGTAGAATTCTGTTTAGGCCACTGAACCTGTCATACTGACAGATCACTAATGATGATGATCTAAATGTCACGCTTGTATGTTTAAGGGAGAAATGTACCGTCGATGAACTGGATGTCCCAGACTTCCTTATTAGACTAGAAAAAGCCCACCTCTTTCCCTGCAACATATAACATGGTGACCTTACCAGCTAACAATGGAAAATTAACAAAGTCTCCATGTGTTTGGAGTTCTGCTGAAGTGTGCAGAGAGAGAGAGAGAGAGGGGGGAGATAGGGGGGAGAAAGAGAGAGAGAGAGAGAGAAAGAGAGAGAAAGAGTGAGAGAGAGAGAGAGAGAGAGAGAGGGGGAGATAGGGGGAGAAAGAGAGAGAGAGAGAGAGAGAAAGAGAGAGAAAGAGTGAGAGAGAGAGAGAGATAGAGAAAGAGAGAGAGAGAAAGAGATAGATAGAGAGAGAGAGGAGGATAGAGAGAGAGGGAGAGAGAGAGAGAGAGAGAGAGGGAGAGAGGGGGTCGAAAGAGGGAGACAGAGAGGAATGATTGGAACGTGGTTGGAACGTTTACTATCTAAATTCATTGCGTGATGCCCGGTTGAACCGTAAACAGATCTAGGGCACGGTTGGGTGGTTCGTACAGGACCATGATACTTTCAAGTTCATGTTTAAGTTCATTTATTTGCACTCATCATTAAAAATACCGGATATATACAATAGTCTCATTTACAAATACAGAATAAACATACGTAAATATCAAATATCCAAACAAAAAACATAACATATGAGGGGATGAGCTGAAAAGGATTATAGTCCTTATGCAAGAGTCCATTCCTCATATTTAATATTAATACTATTAATACAATTCGAATGAACACAAAGCCTAATCCAGTCAAACATGCTTATTCCGGCGGTTCTTGCTATCATTTCGTCTGCTTTTGAACATTTATTAAAAGGATGCTGTGATTATAAAATGGTTGAAAAACGCTGCGCTAGATAACCCTGTAGTGCAGCTCTGCACGTACTGCCCTAATTATAACAATTACAACACTTCAAATACATGTCGATAAATTTCAAAAATCTGCAACAAAATATAGAGTTATAGAAGACTTGAAAACTGTTTGAAAAACATCACACAGGCAGAAATTGAGTGGTGTGCTTACAAAGGCTATTGAGATATGAGAGGGGGAGTAGGAGGGTCTTTATTACGAAATTCGAGGATCGGTAATTCAAGGCAAGAGACCCCTTCTTAGCCAAAATAACAATGAACAAAAAAAGAAAGAAAAGAAAGAAAGAAAGATCTTTACAGTGGCTGTAATTAAGAAAGAAAGAAAGAAATAAAGAAAATCAATTAAAACAAGTAAGAAGGACAGACTTCATAGGAAATTCAGAGGAAATTCATATAAATGATACAGAGAGAGAGAGAAATAAAACTAGAGCTTCGCTGTTTTCAAGTACCCTAAAAGTGCCCATTTTAAGTGATAAGTGGCCCTATACAAATCTGTGTCCCATTTCGACCACTTAGTAAAATCCAATCGACCCCTTTTATTAATAGGTGCCCCTTTTCATCTTTGATGAGAGCCCATTTTTTGGTTTGACACATTTCAGTGCCCACTTTCCTTTCAATTAAGTGGCTTTTGCCCTTCGGATTAGTGCCCCCTTTTTCTTTCTAATAATTGCCCCGTTATCTTCCTAAAATAACCCTTTTCACCCCTAATAAATGCCCCCTTTTGAATATGATAAGTTCCGTTTGTTAGTTGGAATAATGTCCCCTTTTCTTATTAATAATTGTAAACCTTTTTATCGAAATTTCACACTGCTCCTTACAGAGTGTGCCATTTTGTGATCATATTGAGGGCCGCATCTAGTTTAAAAAAAATCGGAGCAGCTTTGTGTAGTAACAGGTTCCCTATTTCTACCACCCTAACAACTTAACATGGAAGAAACCATCATCGACAGGGTTGCCACAAAAAGATTGAGATACTTTGGACACATCAACAGAATGATTCAAAAAGATACCCCCATATCCTTCTCAACGGGAAATGTACACGTAAAACGCCCAAGGGGAAGACCAGCTAAGAGATGGACAGACTGCATCAAGGTGGACTGCAAAAACAGACAAGTTGACTCCCTGACTAAAGCCACTAGGCTAACAGAAGACAGGAAGGTGTGGCAAGCCATAGTGAAACAGAAGCCATCATACATCCCAGTGATGGTGTGGACGGCTTAAAGATAAAGGTGAGTTCTGGTAATGCGATTGCATTGTGAAAGAAAAGGTGTGGAATGGATCAGAAACAGTTGACCATGTAGCTGTTTTCAACAATGGATGAGAAATCATTGGGAAGGGACATCGAAAAGTTGCTGTGATACCATTTTCTGATGTAGGAATTCTAAATGCGCTCTTTTATCTCACCACCTGGTCAACAGTTGCTGATTAGCGCATAACTTTTCGGCGGCTTGGAGAATGGGGTCAAAGGAGAGCGGCTTGATTCCAGTCCTTCTCTATCAGGTCCATGCTTTAATATAATGCAATAATTCAAAACCAGGGGTTGTTTACCCGTTCCCGGCATACTATTGCAAACATAATTAATGCTATTTAACTTTTAGGTGTACACCAAGTCAAACTAATAACCTTACAATTAATCAACCCAGCCCGGCTCCTCTATGGCTCTAGCGCCCCCTTTAGGTCAATGTGTTGTCCAAATCAGCGTACCACTATAGTAAGAATCTTATTTTCCCACACCCATCAGTATTCATAACTTGAAATACTTGAAATCTCATATTCAGGGAATATAGTGCAAGAGATGAAATCACATAAAAGCACTATACACAACTGTAGTGAAAGAAAAATGCCTCTATTGAGACGACAAGGAATGTGAATGCATTCATCTTATATTAAACTGCTATGATTCATATTCTTACTAATCTATTAACAAAGATCAACGGAGCAAATCT